GTGTTTTCCACTCTGAGACTGGATACCTGTCTGGAGTCCCCTGTTAATTGGCTGCGATTACCTCTGCTGGTCTCACTTTGGTTCATGCTTTGTAGTTTTGCTCTTTCTGCTGACAACCCATGGGGTCAGTGTACAAGCAGACTTATTAGGGAGGTTCTGTCTTCTTGGCTGCAGGATCTGTGCAGCATTTGCAGCTTTTATCAAACAGATTACAAAAATACCATGAAAACAAAAGGCAATAATGGAAAGTTAAAGGGAAGATCTCAAAAACCTCCCAAACTGACAATATTGCAATTGCTGCGCTGCAGCATTACGTAAACACCCACTTATTAGGCATGTTTTACCATATGTATGGTATAGTAAACACCCACTTATTAGGCATGTTTTACCAGTGAAATTCTCTCCAACTCAGAAGAAAATATGTATGTATTACCACGACTCCTAGCATTAAAGTTTGAGCTACATACTTTCAACAAAGTACAGCTCTATCACTGTGAAGTTAAAACAATTGATAACACTTAAAGTTTACTGCCAAAACTCTCCTACTTGATAGTCAGAAGGCATAACCGTTAAATAAAATCCATGTTCAAGCCACACAATTAAAATACTCCCCAGCTTCAAAAATTCCTGCACTTCAGACAGCACTATATCTCTGTGATCAAGACATTAACAGCAGGCCTCTGGAATCCCTCAGCACACCTATTCGTCCATTCTTGGATGCCAACCTATTCTTGCCGGGCTGGTGCTGCCTTGCATCATGTAGTAATTCTTAACCGAATATTTGTGAAATATCCCAGGTTTTTGTCTGAGTATACAGCTATGAGAAAAGGCAGAGAAGGTGCACTAAAAAACCATCAGAAGGGCATATGAAGGAGGCAGGGCAATAGAACTGGAGATTTCTAAAATACTTCAGCAATTCTGAGTTCAAGATACCCTCCACTGTAAGGAGATACCCCTCATTTGTTCTGACTCCCTTGAGCTCTCACTGAGGGTTCTCAGCCACACATATGTAGGCATTTGTTGGATGCTTGTCAGAGATGGTAAGAGTAATTCCTTCCTGTCTCATACCCTTTGGTGGCTATCCAAAAAACAAGAGAATTAGAAGGAGTGGGAAAAATGTGTGAGTCACAAGGGGATTTTTAATTTGTAAATGGCATTTTTAAGGCTGATGTTGAAATACTTCATCCAATTCTGACATCCAAATTTTAAAGGAACTACGATGGGTGTGGGGGGGATCAGAAAAGGTGCAAAGAGACAAAGACTCAGAAGACAGATAGAAATATATACAGCAGGAGATGGTTCACGTAAGATATCAAGGTGATTTAACAACTTAAGTTACAAGAACTTCCCACAGAATAGAGATACGGGATGCTAAGTCTGGTTTTGTGGATGTGATGTAAAAGCCAAAGTAATTCAAATTAGAAAGATAAATTTTAGCAAATGGGAGGACAAATCATTAGAATAAGCAACCATTGTATGAAAGCTCTTGAGCCCACAGACCAAGGCTGAGCATCTTCTAAAAGATTTACCTCCATCAAGTTGCCAGCCTTTGTACACAGACAGAATACAAAGTTTATATTGAGAGAAAACCAGATTTAGTGATCTAATGGCTCTTCTTGGTCTTAAAATCCATAAATATTTTAGTAGAGAAGTACAGTGTGCTGTGATGTGACTGCTTGTTATGCTTCTGGATTCAAGTCAGTTGACCAAGTACAGTCCTGAAGGCTACATATACTGGGCAAAGAATAAAGCACTCCTCTATCACCAAGCAACACAGTGTTCTTGGTGTTACATGATCTTTTCTCTCCTAAGAAACATTTTACATTAGTATCAGTCTGCACAGAGTTTTCTCAAAACAAGGTCCCAAATCACTTTTGGGAAATAAGCTAACAAAATAGACTGACATGGACAGTTTCAGGAGGCAGTTTTGATTTTCCCTCAACCATCTGTTGTTTAAACAAAATTAAGCAGTTGCACATATTAATTCAGGTTGCCATTTAAGCTTTAAGTGTTTGACAGCAAAGAAAAACAACTTAGCATTTAAAATTAACAAAATATTTCCAGAACCATTACAGCTCCCCTGGATAAAAATGAAGCTACTCATCTCCACTCGGGTAAGTTCCAATACAGATGTGAGTTTTCACAAAATTTAAGTATATACCTATGCAAGTAATTATAGATACCTCAGAGATTATTGAGAATAACAGATACACGGGGAAAACTGATTACCCTTTACAGCTCGTTTGTTGTTCATGTCTGTACTCATTTATTTCCTGTGGTTCTACTAAGACCATGCAGAATTTTTGACTACAGTCTATTAAGAACATGAAACTCCACTACAGCAATTCTACAAACTCTCTGATGAAAAGTACAAAAATGACCAATCACCTCTGCATCTATATATGTATCAAGAAATACAACAGGACAACAAAGCACAAAAGTAGCATGGTTATCTTGCATTTAAAGAAAGGCACACTATAAACAGCAACAAAAAACTTTGCTGCTAGCATTCTATGTTACTTTTTTCTTTTCATACAAACAAGTCCTGTGTAACCTCAACACAGTTTAATCATATGATTCCGAGGAAATTTTTGGCTTTTTTAGGAATGCACATCATATATACAGTGCAGCTATAATAATATTTAGTCCAAATATTCTTCTACACATATACCTACACATTAGCAGTATATACTCCTAGATGTCCAATCACAACCTATTTAAAATTATTACCATCTACAAGGTAAATTGCGTGTTTTCTCATGTATTCACGATCTTAAAAAATACTGTTATTTTCATAAATTAGACAAATCTCCAATGAGAACATGTAATTGCTGAGGTAGAGACCTCTTCCAGATCCAGTAGGAAATTCAAAAACTCCCTTAGCTCATTAAGACTGAGTACCTATGTCTTTAAAAGTCCTTTAGAGGACTTTTCATACCATCTGTGATCAAGTGATCACAATTCTCTCATAAGTATTCATATTCTTTAATTACTTTATTGGTATTAGTGGACGTCATTTTTTACTGTTAACCACAGAAGAGGTGGATCAACTGGAGAAATTACAGAGGATTTTAACAAATGGGATCAGAAGTCTAGAAATCCTGAAAAAAGTGGGTTTGTTTAGTCTAAAAAGAAGAGAAGACTGAGGAAAGATATGATAACAGATTTCAACTATGTAAAAGGTTGTTTTCATAAGCCTTCTTCATGCCCACAAGTCATAGGGCAAAAAGAAATGGGCTTAAATTAGAGCAAACATGACTTAAAGGATGAAGAAAGGCATTTTACAAGACACTGGAAGTTTGAGCTTTAAATTTTTAAAGCTTACCTACTTAAAAATTATGTTAAGTATATAAATGTAGAGAGAGCTAAATTTACTAATTAGCATGCACTGTAGCACAAATAGATAACAGATCCATTGTGGAGGACCACATTTGTCCACGTGGAGACTAGGACAAAACCGCCCAATTGCTGACAAAGAACCATGGAACTCAATGAAAGAGTCAGATTCATTTCTTATTCCATAAAGGCTGAAGATCTGTGCTGTACAATTACTTGATAACTAATTCTTACTTTTGCTTAAGAATATTTCAATTTTCACTTTGTTGCTGACTTAGTTCAGTTCAACCACAAGGAATTCTAATAATAATTCTGATTAGGTCAGGGGAACTTAAAATGAAAAATAATGAAAAATGCTCAATAAGGGAGCTGTTCTACCTACATCACAAGTTTAAATAAATTATTCTGATTATTCTGATACCCTTTCTTCCTCCAGTGTTGCTTATTATTGACCTCTGGCTGTAACGACTCTCTTTTCTAAAAATCATTTCAAAGAGTCTAGAAAAGGACAAATACAAGTAACTATTAACTAATCACTGACATTCAAATCATTTCATCAATGCCAACCCTGCAGCCAATCTTTCATTTTTTTCTTTAAGGCAGGGAAAATTCTGGGCCGAATGCTGGAAGTCTTATTTAACTCACCTTAGTGGTAGTCATGCAACAAAACAGTCAATTATTACACCTTGCAATATGAGGTAAAAACTCTTCCTCACTATGTTTAATTCAAAAAGGAAGCAACAGGAATTTTTGTGCCTCTGTATCCCCTGGAGATTTAAAAAAAACTATAGAAACCTAACTAAAGCATAGTGCTTTAATAGTTTTCTGTTTGCAAACAAAGAAATCTCTTTTGTTTTCTTTTCCAAAGTAAGACTTAAATACTGCACAGTACCTGTATTTTCAGTAGAATCATACTTACTTCTTATTCAGTTATAAGAGATGTTGAACAAAGCAAAACACTATCCATTCCACAGAATGACAGGCATTTAAAATCAAGAATTATCTGGTCACAGTGATTAACATTGTTTCTGCTAGATGCTCCACTGGACACCTTACATAGTGTATTTTTAGCCATGACAAGACAGTGAACTAAACCATTCTGTCTATAGTTCCAAGCCCTGCTTTGCTGGCAAATACAAATACTATTTCATCAAGGAAACTTTCCTTTTCAATATTGGTTCTCAAAAAACGTCTCGCATCTTCAAGGGCTTGAGATTTTAATTGAACCATCTTCCCAATGGAGAACTAAATTAAGATCAATAAATCAATCAACATGAATTAATTTTCATCTGACAGGGAATTATCAAAAAAAATATGGTTTAGCTTAGAGCTTAGTCACTGAAAAGAGATATACATAGCCTGCAAGAGTGGTCATCTTGATCCAATACAAATTTTTAAATTAGATTTTTCACTGCCTTCATGGTCTGACATACCTAAACCAAGGAGAACATAGAGTTTTTCTTTACCTCATTAACCATGGAATAAATAACAACATACTATATGCCTGCTAGAAACATTCATCAAACACAGAGATAGGAGAGTCAGCAGTTGCTAATGAAAACTTATTAAATGTTATTATCCGGGGCTCGGTCTGCAATCTCATGTAGCTTCACAGGTTTCTCAAGAGCAAAGAGTAAAGGTTATTTACTTGAACAACTTATTACCTTGAATACTCCTTTTGAAGAAAGCTTTGCAGCCCTCACAAGACCAGACCCCATAATGGTAGCCTGAGGCGTAGTCGTTGCAGACAGCACAGTACCGGGTCTCCTTGGTGGACTCCATGGACAGACTCCCTTTCTCATTGGTACTGGACATCCTCTCACGGATGCTGTGGCGCCTATTATCAGAGCTTGGCCTGTTAAAAGCAAAAAACAAGCATGATTCTTTAGGCAAGGTTAATTCTTATACACACCAGCATTTAGTAAGAAAGAGCATATCTAGTTTTGAAACTACAGATGAAAAAAATATAATCTTTTATCACCCTCTGTCCTGTTCTAGTTGGAAAAGTGTAGACAGTAAGATACAGGAGAATTTCTCACAAATCAATCTGATGTTATTAGACATTGTACCTTGAAAATTTGAAAAGCTATTTGATAAATTAATCAATTTTTCTCAAGACATTACAACGGAATACAAAAAAAAAAAATCACCTTTTTCTTTTGTGTACCTGCTCCTCTCCAAAAGGGTCAGCATGACTGCAGTATCAGTAGGTAGGTATAGAATCTGAGGCAAAAATCACTTCATGTTTGCTTCTGAATTTGTGAGTCATTTAAATTATTAACCAGGCTATTTTCAGTTAATATTGCCCAATTAGAAGGGCAAACTCTTCTCACGTTGTCAAAGGTATAATACTGCATATAATAGTCTCTATTCTCATTACAATACCACTTTCGTAAAAATTAAGAAGTGGCTTTAGCACAACAAGAAAAGTCAGAAGGCATTAAAAATTGTTGCCAAAGATTTTTCATTCTGGGTAGCTCCTGCAGGCGTGGTAAACAATATTGAAAATGATGAGAGGATGTGAAATTACCAAGAGAACCAGCACCGAACTCTGGGATTGCTCCTGGAAGGCAAACAGCTCTTGCAAAACATGCTTTCCAGTAAGAGTTTGCGCTACAAATTGTCCAGGAGACAAATACAATGGTGTGACAGCATCAGACAAGCTAAAGCATAAAGAATCCTACTGTTTACAGTAATTACCCACTTAGCACGTATGTTTAATTGCTGGCTAATAAACAGGTGGCTCTTGTCTCCCGGAGTCTCAACATTTTCTCAAACAAACATATCCTGCTTTTCAGCCTAGAAGACTGTGGGAGCTCTTTTTCAGATTTTTTTCCGACATCGCTGATTTTGCCTCATTCCCTTCTTCACCACAGCAAAATTTCCTTTGTTTTGATGAACTGGCATCTGGCACTAACAGCACTGTCTTGCTCCAAACCAATAGCCCCCAGCCGCTTTCTGATCAAAGTATGCTCAACTCTCCTCCTTCATCTAGCCCATGTTCCCTGACATCTCCTGTTGCAGTCCAAAAACTGCACCCAACTACTCAACACCCACAAGCTTTCTACGCGCCAAAGCCACCTGGACAGTCTCACACGTGCTGCCAGTGATCCCCTCAAGACTTTTCATATATATATTTTCTCCCCCTGATATATTTTCATTGAAAAGCTTTGAATGAAGCTTATTAGAGAAGCATGAGGCTTTGCCATGTTAGATAGAGAAACTGCTACTGGCATCATTCAGGAAAACTGCAGTTTTTAAACCCAAAGTTCATTACCAAACCTTATATACCAGCTAATTTTGAATACTTATTTAAATCATTTTGGGGGGTTGGGGACTTTTACAAGAAAGAAGAAACTGCAAATGGTGAAGTGGTGGCACAGCACAACTCTGGCTTTTTAGTGAGGTGGGAAAAATGGAGAATGACACAATTCTGACGACATGAGTTTGACAAAATAGGCAAGGGGAAAAAAATCCTTACATATTTTAGATGTTAAAATGTGAAAAGGTGAAAACAATAAAATTAATAAATCGTTATGAATATAACACATACTTTGTTCATGTAAGTACCTCTTCCAGCCCATCAAATCTAGGTAGTTTTTGTACTCTTCTCCAGGTCCTGAATCTTCCTTTGAATTTGCTTTATCCCAGTGCCTCATTTAATTGAGTTCTTTTTTTCCTACTGGGCACTGATCAAAACTGTTGTTTGTCTTCTCCACCTCATTCTCCCCTACCTATAGCTAGATCACCTAATCCATCCTCTCAGTATAAGTTTAAATTAAGCGCAATGCAGCTTTGTTTAAAAGTATACTTGTAGGTGTATATAATTACAAGAATGTTTTAAATATTTGAAGTAAAACAGCAAGCAATAACTGTCAATATAATTTTAACTGCAATAGATTAGTCTACTAGATATACTTGACCACCTGATAGTGATTCATAATTTTTGGTCTTTTTTTTTTTCAAAACTGTTACAAATATGTAGGTTATACAAGATAAGGTTCCCATAAATATTTTCACATCAATAAGAAGTACAAATAAATTACAATTGTATAAATTCTAAATTTTAAGTTATCTTTTATAAAAAAGCACCTTTAAAGCGGTAAAATGAAAAATATTTCAAGCTCCAAAACAATTACATATATTTGCAGGTGTGTAGCGACTTTCCAACATCAAACACACAATTTCTAAACAATCATAGTTTCCTAGTTCGATACAAAAGAGATCACATCAACTAATAGGTAAACCGAAATAGACTAAAGAAATATCGAAAAGTATCAGTCATCACTCAGTCCACATAATTTAAATCTTTTCAGAGTATTTACCTTCGCTCAGATGAAGACTAGATTCAAAAATAAACTTTTATTAAAATTATATTTATAATAAATGGCTGAAAAATAGCCTGAAACAACAACAACAAAAGATTCTTCTGCCTAGAACAGATAAGTAATCTTATGAAAAATGTACACTTCAAAGAAAATAAGATGGATAGACACAAACACGAAAGATGCAGTAAAGACAGACATATTTTATCACGCTGCTTGCGGGGACTCTGTCCCACAGGTCATGTCTGTCCTCGGTGACACGAGGCCACTGTTTCAGAGGGAGGCTGAGGCAGGAGCAATGAGGCAGCGTGCTCCCTGTAAGCACACACATGTCCCCAAAAGGGACAGGGGAGCAATGCCACTGCTCACCCCTGCCCCTAACCCCCCTGCCTCTCATATCTGATTTAGACCTCCACTGCAATCCTGCACACAAGCTCCTTACATTGGGAGAGCACTATAAATCTGTTAACACAGACCTCCACAAAGCAAAATGAATCTACAGATGGCCTTGCCGGCTTCCCATGCACACCCCCAAAATCTGTGCCACTCAAGCACCACTCGAGCAAGGTCTTGCAAACTGGCCTTGCAGAGTCATCACATTCAGGCTCTTGTGAACCACAGTGGGAAGCACACTAAAATACCCACAGCTCCCATCCTCCCCTGAAATAGCATCCTGCCACCCCTTTCCATTTATACAACGGAAAAGAGTAACCCAGTAACGCAGAGCCTGCTAATTTCAAATAACATCTCAAATTTCATCCAGAAATCAGCCGCTGGTTAGTGCACATCACAGACCACTGATGTCATGTCCTGACAAAAAATAACAGTCTGCTCTTCATCCAGTTTTCAGTTAGGTTCCAAGGGTTAGCCTTTTGGAGAACATAGTGCAACAACCTAACCCCACTTTAATAACTTTGGCAAGATCATCATTCCCAAAATACAATAGCTGAGCTTTTTCAACAATTTCCTTTGTAATCTATGCAAACAATAACATAAAAAAAAAAGACCAAAAAGGTCTTGTCAACTATGTTTACCAAAGAGAAACACAAATCAAAAAGAAAGAAAACCCCAGATAAAGCCCTCCCTCCAAGGCCCCCACCATAACAGAACAGATTAGAAAGTAAGAAAACCTCAGAATTTACTGCTCATTTCCAATGTAATAACAAAGCAGACATAAAATGGAAAGTCCTTTGGAACCTACAGAGCAGGACAAACTTGTCTTCTATATTCACTTTCATGTTTTTCCACCTATATCACGCAGAGTTTGCTCTCCAATAAATCTGTTAGCAAACAAGACACCTCTGCTTTAAACATTCACTCACCAACTGCATCTCTGAATCAGCCAAGAAATCATTAACCCCATGTTGGCTGTAAGGTAAAAAGAGTGTGTCCATGAGAGAATTACAGTTGTGTAATGTGATCTCAGTTTTTTACATCGTGGGAATTGGACTGGCAGGTAGGATGAACTTAGGATAACCCACAGTACACAATCCACCCAACAGAGAGGTAAGGCCCAATTTATTCACAGCCTCAGCTTTGTCTGAAATAAAGAGATTTCATAGGTGAGAGGCCTTAAGGAAAAAGCTATTTAATCAGTTAAGGGAGACATCTTGAGAAATTCTATTTTTCTGAATTTGCTTTCATACAAGAAACTTTAATCTGCAGTTATTCAATCTTTCTTACCAGACTGGATGGAAGTTCCCAGCTTAAAAAGCCTCAAAACCAATGGCCATTTCAAATGCAGACAGGGTCTAGCACAAATGCTTTTCCACACCATAGGCTTATAATAGCACTCTAGTATTTTATATGAAATTAATTAACTTGCTGGTAAAATGTGAATTTCTATATGGGGCAGATTATTTATGAATGATTACTCAAACAGAATTAAGTGATTGGAAATGCTTAAAAGACATCTGAAGGAGATAGATAGGAATGACTAAGTACACAAAAAAACCCCAGAAAATTGCCAAGCACATTAAGCACCTCAAAACTGTGCTCTCAGAAAGTTGCTCCAATGAATCTGAAAAAAATCATGCCATCCAAATGAAAATGTTGGCTAAAAACAAATATCCTAAAATGCCTAGGGTTGTAATTAAGCTAAATACAACTTGACAATGAAGAGAGAAAGTCTTAGACAGAGTCGTATATCAAATGGACAGAATCACAGGGTACTTTAGGCTATATGGGCTACAGCAATGAGAGTGGGTTCCATCACCACTTCCACTGCTGATGAAAATCAGCTGGGGCTCTCCCTGGGGCCTGGTTGAGAGCCATTCCTGATCCATGGCTCTAAGCACATTTCACTCAAATGGCTAAACTCTATTTCTCCCCAAAACAGGATGGTTTCACCTATGCTACCAAGGGAGAAGGACTCTTGCATAGCTCCTGCCTGAACCATGTCCTGGGAGAGGATCCCTCAGCCAGGCGAAACTGTGCCCAGGAGTGTGAAGCTATTGAGCAGTGAGAGCCATCATGCCGCCTGGATGCAGTCCTGAGTAACATGCTCTAGCTCTAGGCAATCCTGCTTCAG